CATACAGCAGTGGGAGAAATGGGGAGAAGCCGTCTGTGAAAAGCCAGAGCCTTACTGAAGTGAGCAGGGCTCCATGCATGAGGTGTCCTGGTGTGAGGTGTCATCCCAAGAAGTGTGATGAAGGCTTCCATTAGAAGGGCTTCCCCGCATGGGACGTCAGTCCGAGTGGAGTTAGACAGGTGTCCGTATGGAGGATGGCCCAGTGCAGGGTGCCATATGTGTGTGTGAGAGGCAGAGCACGGCTAGGTGTCGGCACAAGCAGGAGAGGAAAATCAGTGAAAGGCTGAGGAACAGGGCATACCTAAGCGCAATACCCAGTGCTGGATTGGATCGTTTCCCAATACAGGATATTACTGGGGCAATTGGCAACACTTCAGTGGGAGCAGAGGTTTCCATTTTCAGTGTACAGTCTCTGTCCTGTGATTAAAATGCAATTATTTAAGATCATGTCGTCACTTAACATAATAATTAAAGTTAATCATCCTGTCTTGCAGTGTGACTCTTTTCTATGCTTATGCCCTAATGAAGTGATGGGGACTGGGTGGTGCTGCAAATCAATCCTTTTTTGTTGTATTAAAAAAAAAATTCTATAGTGAAACTACAGTGTTTGTCTAAGTAAATCAGACTTAGGCCTCCTTCCTGAAGGTTAATCTGAATAAATTTGGGGGCCAGCATATACTTCTTATAAGTGGCTAATATTTAAATTGCATTCTTTATTGAGAACTTTATCCCTTTAGCGTCTGACTCCAGAGCATAGAGTCAGCAGAACCCAGGTCCAAACCCTGACTCTCGCACCTGCTAATTCTATGACTTGGGGCAGCACATTGCCTGGCACAGAGACTGTGCCTCAGTACACATTGGATGAGTGATGTATGAAGTTACTAAATGTATGGGGTCCTGTTTCCTTATTCGTAAAATAGGTACAATTGTCGGGTTGCTTAGAACTTACAGATAATTTATATAACTCTTGGCATAAAGTAAGTATTCAGTTAGTGCTAGATGTAATAATAAGAAATGTTATACTAGAATCCTTGCATTAATATCAGGCAAGTCCCAGAAATAATACAAGTTATCTCGGTTTATGAGGGTGGTGAGAGAAATATACCTACGTGACTCAGTTGCTTCAGATAGCTTTACCAGCATTGTTTATTCCGCTCTTGCTGTAAGCAGTTATTAAAGCAGACTTAAAGGGCGAAGGCACAGTCTTCCAGGAGTACAAACCCATGAGATCGCAGTTCTATGGAATAAACTGAATGTGAGACATACTGGAGGAAAGAATAAGGGAGCTGAGTAATGTGTGGAAAGATTACATAGATATGAGCTTGAAATTGGAATTGGAAAAAAGCCACTTTTGATTGGTACACAGGCCACGGGGAGATGTCTGAGGCTAAGTGTGGGTGTCCTGGGTCTAGGCAGGTGCTGGGGACAGCCCGAGGCTGGTGGTTTGGAGTCCTCAGTGGGAGCCATGGAAGGTGAGGTGAGTTAGGTAAAGTGAAGCCAATATGCAGGTCACCTTGGTGATTGAAATAACTTTTCATTTTACTGTTTCTCAGCCTTTTAGTTCCTTGTTTGAATATAGAAACATTCTAGAGAGGGTCAGAACCGTTAAAGTACTGGTTGGAATTGTTTTTATTTTGAGATAGTCCACCTGGAATTTTTTCCCCCCCAAAGACCACAGTTTGAATACTTTAAGCCTGATTTTAGTAGATCACAGAGTATGAGGAAGGACCCACTAATGGTTATAGACTCGATTATCTCTTTGGCAACCAACACTAAAAATGGACACATGGAGGGAAACCAGTTTTTATCCTAATTTGGATGAAATTGCTATTTAAAAATCTGGCCCCTTTTTCTGAGACAATGTGAACTTCTCTGGAGTATCCCCTTCTTTCCCCTAACATTTCTCTCCCTTGCCCTCGCATTCTGGTTCTAAGCTAGCTGATGAGTTGTGGAGTCAGGGTTCAGACATCTTTATTAATTTGTGAAAAAGATTAAAGAAATACGCTAACGCCATTTAATTCAAGGCTGCCCAGTATGGTATGTAAGACATTTGAGACTATATATTAGAGAGAAATAACAGCTCTTCATATGCTAAGGGTGAGGAGAAAGGATGTGGACTTGTCTTCCCTTCTTTTTGTTGTTGTTGTTAATAGAAATGCTGTTTTTTCCAGTGGAAATTTTAGATAGAACGTTCTTTGTTTCTCAGCATTCATTCCCCCCTTTTGTTATTGGAATGCCTGCATTAGTGCATCAGTTGGTTTACCTGGGAAAATTGTTGGGATTAAATGCAAGGTTACTGCATTGATTTCATGCTATAAATATTGTTCTCTATTTATTCTAATATATGTATACTTGATAGAAATTTCATTTTTTTAAAACTGTTATGTCTTAGGAGTTTTCTGTTATTTAGTATGATCCCAAGATGTAATTCTCTAAAGAAGGAAATGGCAAATTATTTTAATGCCTTTTATTTTTTCTGTTTCTAGCCTATTCTACTAAGCTCAACAAATTTCCTGTCTTTAATATTAATGATGACTTGAATGATCTGTGTACCAGTGCAGTAAGCCCAAATACTACCAAAGCCACGCGGTATGCCCTGAATGTGTGGCGATATTGGTGCATGACCAATGGGCTCAAAGATCACACGGACATCACCAAGGTAAGAAATTCCTGAGTTTACTCCTTTCAGCCAACTTCACTGAGCTTCCAAGTGCCAGGCACTGTGCTGAGCGCGGTGGGGAACACAGAACAGTTGCTTTCTGCCTAGAGAAACTTTGAAAGAACATAAAATAGAAAAATGTCCACAGTGCAAAGCAGAATTTAATAAGTGTTCTATGAATTTACAGATCAGAAATGCCAAAAAAAAATTCGGTTGGATAAATTAATTTCAATTTGGTGACACTAGCAAAGACATTGATATTTAAGCTGTATTTATGGCAGAGAGGTAGAATTTCAGTAGAATTGGATAAAGACAGTTGTCTTCTAGGCTGAGCGATATGTAGAAGAGTAAGATTTGGAGGGTTACACTCACTTGCCTGTAGCAGAGGCTTCATATATGGAAATAATGGACTATAAAACTAGATTTTGATAACCCTTAAATACCAAGCTACAATCTTGTGACTATTGGGAAATCACTGAAGTTTTGTTTAGCTTTTGTTTGTGAGGAGAGATTTTATTTGAAAGATTATTATAATAGTAGTAGGATGCTCTGACTATAAGATGTGCAGGTGTCTTAAGGTTTAGGCCAAAAGGAGACAATTGGTTTTTGAATGGGAAGAAGCATAATGAAAGTGATGATTTCAGAGAAATTAATTGGAAGTGATGAGCAAAAATTTAGTTAATATCCTTGGTCCTCATTTTATTTTCCCCGTTGTAAGAGGAGTTCTGAAAATCTCTTCCAACTTGAAATGTTTGGAGTTTGTGAAGGGAAGGAAAAATTCTTGGACATGTAGAGACACAAGACAAAGATGATGTATTTTGATTTGGATCTACCGAGTCTAAATCGGACAGATGTGTAGCTGGATATGCCCAGTAAGCAGATGGGAATGTGGGATTTCAAACGTGGAGGAAATGTTAAATCTAGCAGGATAGATTTCAAGGTCTTGCAAATAGAGGTTGTAATAGAGGGCAGGTGACATCCCCAAGTTTGGGTGATGTGTTTAGGGCACCAACAAGAGATGAAGTAGGAAATCCAAATTTTTGCTTCTGACAGCATGGTGCGCTAGACACGGCAAGGGGCCATTCTGCTGTACTTGCAGAGAAATAGGGAACCATCACAGAGCTAACAGAAAGGACAGCTGAAACTGGAGCAGTGAGCTGTAAGCACATCTGAAAGGCAGGGCTCTACCTGAGGGCATGTGTTGATGGCATTACTAAGGAAGAGAAGAGTCAGACAGGTGACCTGAAGAATCTTTGATCGAGGAGAGGACCCTTGAAAGGGGCTTGAGAAGTGTACCCTGGCTCCTCACAGAGTTATATGGTAATAATCTTGGAAGGGAAACATTCCTTCAAATGTAGGTGCTCAGGTGTTTTGTAGATTAAAGTCAACTAAATATGTGCTCATTAAAAAAAATAAATCACAAGCCACTCAAGAAAATAAATTACCATGAGTGAGAATGACTAGAAATAAACAACAAGATTTAGACACCCAGGACTTTGGATAGTAGATTATAGACTAGGGATGTATGAAATGTTTATAGAAATGAAAAGAATTACAGTTGATCCTTGAACAACATGGGGGTTAGGGGTGCTGACCCCTGCACATTTGGAAATCTGCATATCACTTAAGTTAGCCCTCCACATACATGGATTCCCAACTGTGGATCGAAAATACTGTATAAAAATAACACAAAAATACTGTATAAAAAATAACAAGCAATAACATACTAATCAAAATGATCCAGCAGATTTAAAAGTAAATTGAAATTTCCACTTGCGGTCATAAGGGAATGAAAAGATCCAGAATTATCTTCCTGCTATCATGACTAGAAAACTGGGCACAATATATGAAACAACTCTTTCAGACACACAGGCAGCACGGGACCTAATCCCTAAGGGAAAGGTAGCAAGTGAGAGCTACCATCTCTCAGGCTTTCCGTCTAGAGGCAATTTCTGTGCAGCAGTGAAGGGAGGGGAACCCAAACAGCCTGGGAATCTTGCTGAGTTGAGGGGGACACAGAGCTCAGGGTTTGCAGAGGCCAAGGAAATGTGGGCACTAGAAAGAAGTCCCACCATCCATTGAAAAAATATGACAAATCCAGACTTCAACAATTTCTAGCATGCAGTAAAAGGTTACGGTACTCATAGGAAGTAGTGGGAACAGGTGACCCAGGAGAAAAATCAGTTAAGTCTTTCACTTCTAGCCAATTTGGAGAGCCACATTTACCCTCCTGCCTGAAACAGCCAAAATACAGACATGGATTTTAGGATGAGCAGACGAGGACATTGAACAGTTATTATTAAGGAGATAAACAAATGGCGAGTAAGCCCAAGAAAAGATGCTCAACTTCGTTAGATATCAGGGCAACGCAGATCAAAACGACATGAGATTCCACTGCGGATCCAGTAGGAAGGAAGGGCTAGAATTTAAAAAGGCACAACAGATGGTATTGATGCGGATGCTGAGAAATTGAAATCCAGAATATGGGAAACATATACCTGTACAGAAACTTGCGCACAAATACTCATTGTAGCATTATTTACAGGCCGCAACGCGGATGAACCTTGAAAATGTTATGCTAAGTGAAATAAGTCCGACACGAAAGGACAAATATGTGTGATTCCATTTGTGTAAGGCGCCTGGAATAGGCAAGTTCATGGAGACAGAAGGTAGCATCGCGGTTTCCAGGGCCTAGAGGGGGGAGGAAGTGTGGGGCTACTGTTCAGTGGGTGTGGTTTCTGTTCGGAATGATAAAAAAAGTTCTGGAAATGAGCAGTGGTGATGGTTAGACAGCATTGTGGATGTACTTAATACCACTGAACTGTACACTTATAAATGGTTTAGATGGTAAATCTTATGTTTTATATATATGTATATTTTTTACGACAATTTAAAAAAAAGAAATCAATAAACTGTAACTTGCACCTTTATCGATAATTTTTAAATTCACCTGTTCTCACAGACCCCCGTCGCCATGTCTTCGTCGTCACTAACCTTGACCTTTTCTAGACCGGAGGTCAGTGACCTCGCTGTGGCGACGGGGTCTGTGGCGGGAACCTTTGGCTTTCATGCAGGAACCCTTCCCTCCACGCCCTCCGGCCTGGAGAGCACACACCGCCCAGGCCACGAGCGCGCCTGTCACCGCTTCCCCCAGCTAGTGTCCTAGTGTCCCCTGCGTTACCCGGAGGGACAGCGGGCACGGAAGATAGAGTTCAGTCCTCCGTAAGCTCCTCACATGGGCCACTGAAGTATTTTTAATAATATATTCTTAAGAAAGAGGCCAATATCTTAGGGAATTTATCCGGTAGTTAGTTAAAAGGAGGGACTGAGGCATCAAGGCCCGTATTCTTTAATCTCACTTACTTGGTCTCGATGAAGATATTTTTAAAGACAGATATAGCTGGCAGCAGACGAGGTAGGTAGCAGCTCTTCATCATGGTTTGGCAGCCGGTGCGCCTCAAATGTATTTGTGTAAGGAAGAAAGCAAAGAGTTAAATAAGAGTATATACTGTTATGCTCACTCTGTGATCACTCTTTGATCTACTGTGTGTATTTAACTTAGTATTTTTTCCACACCAGTGTGACCCAATCCTCACTGATCCATCTCCCTCAAGGTTGCTATCTCATTGACTTCTATATTCCTTAAACTCATTCAGAAAATAGAGCATCTTGAAGTCCAGTACCTATCTTTCTGAATTAAGTGAAATTTGGTAACTGCCAAAGTGAAGTCATTTTGTGGTTAGCAATGCCACTTTGAGATTCGTTTTGTTTTCCCATTAGCATACTTGTAGTTCATACTCACCTCCTTCATCCTCCCAGACAAGATGCTCACAAAGGGGGAGCCTGAGGTATTCCCCCAAAAGTAACTCTTGGTTTTACTTGTGTTATAGCTAAGTCTCAAAGATTGCCATGTGGTTCCAGAATTTTGGAATTTGCCGAACACATTCGTTTATTTCTTATTTTATTCTTTCCCATCTGGAGTCATCAGCCCCATGACCAAGCTCTTACTTCTCACTGGTCAGTTTTACATCCAGGAAGCCAAATTTATAATCCATGGTAATTTTTGAGGTGGGAAATCTATTCAGAGTGGCTAATGAAGGAAAGTAGCTCCTTCAATGTCTTTATAACAAATTGAAAACCGTGGCAACCCGGAGGAGTAAATCACCATCCAAAACTCAGACTGAGAAAACTGGCAAGGCCTCCAACATGGGCCAAAGTGAACGGGTTTTTGTGTGCAAACAATATACGTTTGTGACTTGACATTTCTCCAGGAATTGCTTTTGCTGTGATTTTACTTTGAAACTTGTGGTATTCTGTGTAAATCAGAGAAATGTTCTGCATCACAAGTCAGCTTGACTCTCCTGATTCCAAGGTTATTTCATCGATTTAATCCACGTTTATCAGTTCGTTGGGTATCAGTGATATAGGTCAGGCCTTCTGGTATGTAATGAAGACCCAGGTGTGTATAAGATACAGTTCTTGCTTTCAAGGAACTTTGAGTCCACTTTGAGAGACAGACATATGATAGATAAAAGGCTCTGCAATATGGAGAGGGCTGCAATAAAAATTAAGTGCCATGGGATCCCAGGTGAGAGAAGAACTTTGCTTAGGAAGCTGGAAAAACCTTTATCCTGACAGCAGAATTTGAGCTAGATCTGAAATAATGTACTGAGATTTTCCAAATAGAGAAAGAAGAAAATGCATTCTGGGCAGAGAAGGCCTGTGTAAAGATGTAAAAGCATGAAAGGGCATTGTGGTTTCTGTGAATGACACAAAGTTTAGGGAGCCTGGAAATAGAGCACAAAGAGAACAGGCGATAAAACTAGAGAAATATGCTGTGTACCAGTTACCTATCGCTGCATAAGAAACCACCCCAAACCGCAGTGGCTTAATGCAACATTCATAACATTCATTTTATTTGCTCATGGTTTTATGGATTGTGCTCAGCTGTTTGATTCTTCTACTGGACTCAGTTGGGGTACGCATGTGGGTGCAGTCATCTGGATGTTAGATGAAAGACAGCTTGTCTCTGCTTCAGATGTTCCCGTGGGGCTTCCTCACATGGTAGTATCATACTAAGATGATGAAAGCAGAACTTTTGAGAACCTATAAGACAAAAGCAGGTAAAAGCAGAATATCAAGGCCTAGGCTTGGAATCCACACATTGTCACATGCTACATTTTATTGGTCAGAGTCAGTCACCACCAGCCCAGATTTCAAGGGTGGGAAAATAGAATCTACCTTGTGACGGGAGGAGCAGCAAAGTCACATTGCAAAGGAGTGTGGAAACAGGGAGAGGAGGAATTATTGTGGCTATTTTTGCAAATAATCTGCCACAGAGTAGAGCCAGATTTTGAAGATTTGCTTACAAGGTACACAGTTTGGAATTTATCCTAAGGGCAACAGAAAGCTGTCAGAAGTTAGTTTTTTTGTTTTGTTTTGTTTTGAAGTGCTAAGGTCATAAAATTTTCTGCTCAGAAATTTTTATTTAGGAACCATTTCTCCTACAATCCCCATGGTTATTATAGAAGCCATCATGTTAGTACAATGGCCCATCTTTTGGTCAGTTGTTTGGATCAAGAGTGGGTCAATCAGAATCCTTCCTTTGGATTTTCTTTCTACTGATGAGAGTTGGTCTCTTCCCGATACCTGAAGCCATGATATGCAAACCTTGGGGGGTGCTAGGTGGCTAATATAAGAGAGGTGTATAAAGAGAGCTATGTAAAGAGAGTCGCTCTGCACAGAGAAGCCGAGATGAGAGAGAGTCCTTGGGGTCCACTACTTCTGATACCCCTTTTGCGCAGGCTCGTTCAAGTTTAGTCTGTCTCTTGCAACCAAACAGGTCCCCACTAATATAAGGAGTGGTTAACACCTGCAAGTAGGGAGTTGCAAGTGACAACATAAAATTTTGAAACCAGCTGAGTTTGAATGTCATGGTTACTGGGAAGTTATATTAACTTACTTTTACTGGCATGTAAGAAAGCCGTTGCTGCTTATATTTTGTATATAGCTGCCCTCCTCTTTCTGATGGCTTTTCAGCCGAATCTCTTGGAGTTTCCTAGACCAACAGTGAGATTATCAGGAAACAATTATATTTTGTCTTTTTCCTTTCCACATGTGTGTGTAATTTATTTTTCTTGCCTTATCTGGTTGGCTAGAACCTCCAGAACAGTGTATATAATAGCAGTGATATTCAGCATTCTCATCCTAACTCTTGACTGTATAAAAAAGGATTCTAATGTTTTCTCCTTGGGTGTAATTTTTATAGTTCTTGTTTGTAAAATACTTGTCATCATAATAAAGAGGATTATTTTTTCTGATCTAAATTTAATTTGAATTTTTAAAAATTTGAAATGGAGATCTCATCCTTTCAAATACTTTAAGTATTTATCAAATTCATCTTGCTTTTCTTTAATATATGAATAAATCAATTATATTGAAGTATTAATTGAGATCGACTCATCCTTACACTGTGCAGTGATCCCTACTTGTCTTGACTTGGTACTGCTTTCCTACAGTCCTGAGTGTAATTGGGTAATAGACGCAGTCCTCAGTGTGCATGGTACCCTGTTCATTTCTATGTGGGAATGTAAGAGCTATGTCCCTGTTTTGCAGGGTTCTAATGTGCACACATTTTATTTAACATGCTACTGTGCAAAATGAAAATCACCTCTATTTTACTCAGGGAAGTTTACAGTTATATTCATATACTTTGTTTTTTGAACAGGTCTAATATCAGTCAGATTTAGGTTAGGAAAAAAATAAAGAAACTTTCCTTTTCCTATGCTTCAGAATGGTTTAAATACAAAAGAAAAGCAGGATCGACTCCACAAGCCGTCTCTTTAGGAGTGATATACATCTTTGACAGGCATTTCACTCTCTTGTTTGGGGCTGTTCAAATAGATCTTTTACCTCTTACTGAATCAACTTTGGTCATTTATATTTTACTAGAAAATTATTCAAGTTATCTAGATTTTCAAAGTAACATGTATAAAGTATATGATATTCTTTCATATTTTTAATCATTTTCTGTAGTTGTATATAGCCTTTCTCATCCTAATATTGTTTATAAATGTAGTTACTTTCCTCTTCTTTCTCTCTTTCTTTCTTTCAGACCTCCTAGAAGTTTATCAACTGTACAGGTCTTTTTAAAGATGACAACTTTTTATTTTTTATCTATTCCATTTGTATATTTTCTAGTTCATTAATTTATTTCACTTTATTGATTCACTCCACTATTCTTTAATATCTCATACTTTTTGATATGTAATATTTCAGTTTGGTTTCTTTTAAATCTATAATTCAGTTTTTCTTTTCTCTTTGACCCAACAGCCATTAGAAGAATAAATGTTACCTGTACAGTTTCTACTTTTAAAACATTTTTTATTGAGACTTTTTTTTTTGTGGTCCTAGAATGTGTGTTCAGTCTGAATTGACTGTGAGCAAAGTCTGGCTTTTCTCTTGACAGCTCCCTCTTGAAAATAAAGCTCCCTTCTCTTCCCACCATCCCCAAATAAGGAGCTCTCTGGAACTGTCAGTATAGTCATTATGTTTTTCTTATCTGTTGAACAAATATTGATATCTAAACCCTATGGATCATTAAGCCAGAGACATTTCCAGACCTATCCTTATAAATTCAAGTGAAAATTCAAGGATTTACCTGCGCTGCCATCTGGACATGTCAGTCGTCTCGCACTGTAGCACCATGTTTAGGGCCAGCAGTACCAAATATCGTGTAAATACCAAGAAAGTTAAAGTTAGAATGATTCAGAGTTTGATAAGTTTAGTTCAGGAATTCTTCAAGAGAATGGTTGAGCTTTATTGAAGGGGAAGGAAGGAAAGGATTTGCTAGAAAAGAGAAGAAAGAGATTTCCAGAAAGGAATAGTTATAAAAGCCAATAATAACAATAACATGCATATGTATGTATATTTATAAGTGTATATGTTCATTACTGTTTACAAACCCTTTCATGTCCACTACTTTATTTAAGCATTATAGTAATCCTTTGAGAAGGTGTTGATTATGATGTCCCATTTTGCAGCTTGGAACACTAAGGTTGAAGGAGTTAAGTGGAGCCAAGAATGGAACCTAGATCTTCCAGCTTGGAGTTCACTGTTCTTTCCATTGTATCATGCTAAGGAGTCCACCCTCTAGAGGCCACAAAATGTCTTGTCTACAATACCTCCCCTGGTGAGGATTAGGAGAAGGAAGGAGGGGTCTGGCGATTTGGGTGTCCTCAAATGTGTAACCTCAGTGTTTGTCTCATTTGAGATCCCCGCAGTGAAGTTGAACGAGCTGCTCGAGAACTTTTATGTCACCGTTAAGAAGAGTGACGGCTCGGACTTCCTGGCCACCTCGCTCCATGCCATTCGCCGAGGCCTGGACCGCATCCTGAAGAATGCAGGTGTGGGCTTTTCCATCACCAGCAGCACCTTCAGTTCTTCCACCAAGAAGCTCAAGGAGAAGCTGTGGGTCCTGAGTAAGGCAGGGATGTCAGGTGCCCGTTCTCGCAATATCATCTACTTCTCCCTTTCCAACGAGGAGGAGATGTGGCAGGCAGGGTGTCTGGGGGATGACAGCCCTATCACTCTCCTGTCCACTGTGGTCAAGTACAACAGCCAGTACCTGAATATGCGGACACTGCAGGAGCATGCAGATCTGATGTACGGTGACATCGAGCTGCTCAAAGACCCACAAAACCAGCCCTATTTTGCCCGGACAGACAGTGTCAAGAGGGAGAGTCGGAGTGCTTCCACCCGAATATGTCACGGGAAAATCTACCACGAGCATTCCCGGGGACACAAACAGTGCCCTTACTGCCTCCTCTACAAGTACATGTACATCCATCGGCCACCCACCCAGATGGAGGCCAAGTCCCCTTTCTACCTTACCGCCCGGAAGGAGGCTGTGGACATGGGCAGTGTGTGGTATGAGGAGCAGAGGATGGGACTTCGGTCTCTTCGGGGAATTGTTCCGAACTTAGCCAAGAAGGTCAAGCTAGAAAACTGTGAGAACTTCACCTTCGTCTCATTCACTCAGGTCTCCAGGAGGCTTGGCTCTCACAGCTGCTGCCAGTGAGCCTCCCTGGGTCTGGGCCACTGCTCGGAGGGGCCGGCGAGGACCGGGACTTCACGGCCAGGCTGGTCTGTCACTGTGACCTGCTGTTTCTTTGACTTTGGGTTTCTTAACTGAAAGTAGATGATCCTGAATAATTAGGATGTTTTATCCAAATGTGTGTCACCTTTGTTAAATTATAGAATCTAATACTATGTATAATTTCTACATACACAGGAGCAAGGAAGTTCGTTTTATCTAGTGCCTTTTTAGCACAGATTTTCTCAAAAAAAGAAAACTGTTTAATTAGTGATTTTTCAGAAATCCCAGTAGCCTCGTAGCTTTAGAATGTTTTGAAGACTATTTACACTTTGTTGAATTACACTCACAATGAGAACCAGAAAGAGAGAGGCAGACATGTTCACTATTTCCAGAAGAAAAATTGCACTTGACACTCCCCTTTGTATTATGTGGATGGATAACTTGGTTCTGCAGAGCAAGCACCTCGCTTGGTGGAAGGTGGTGGAGACTGACTGAGCCACGCTCTCAGCACTGGGGGGAACTTACCTCTGCATTAGTGGAGACAGTTTTATGAAAAAAAAGATTAATGCACCAGAAGCTGTTTGTAAGAGCAAGGTTTCCAGTAAACTAGATGGTTCGTACCATGAGGGAACTGCCAATAGTAAGAGAAAGTGGCTTGGAAAAGCAATCTGTGATCAAAACATGAAAACCTCCTGAAGCAGAAGTGCCTACGTTCTATTTCTCAGCACCGTGTGAAAGCTTTTTTCATTTGAACATTTTTTAGAGTTTCTTTTTAGTCTGTCCTTTGTGTCATACAGTTGTCCTGTCAGCATATAGCACTGGATCTGTAAACAAACTAAAGATAATTTTGAGGCTGAACCAAGAAAACAAGCTGCAAAGGAAACAAACCGGAAAATGTCTTTATTAGAGCGCTTTGAAATATGCTTGTCAAAGTATGACTCCTTCAGCCACAGTAGACATCGTCACTGTAGGTGGGCGCCAGTGTCTGGGACACGGTGCTGTAGGCGGCCGACCAGGTAAGCGAACCCAGCATGAAAGGACGTAGTTGTACGTTTCCCAGCATGATGACAGGTTACTGATGCCGTTTGAAACCATTTCCCTCAGGTACAGTCCAACCTGACCACTTATGATGGAAACATCAGCAGAATTTCCTAATAACTACTCTGAACGAGAAGTGGAAAAGGAGCCCAAAGAATGCTACTTAATAATAATAATTTCAAGGGATCTTTATTTTGTACGTGAGGAAAGACTACTACAACTTTATACCATGTGTCCCTTGTATATGCTTTCTAATTCAGCGTGAAAATTCCAATCTAAGTTGGAATTGCAGGTGTCCTAAAATCAGCCCTATTTCTTTTTCAAAATATTATTTTAGTATTTATTTTAATTAATCATTTTGAAAAATCATTCACTGGTCTCTGAAATATGTAATACTTCCTTTCCCAGAGAAGACTCAACCGATGCTGCCTTAAGGGTTAATCCTGTTCCCTTTTTAGTTCCTGCACATTTAGGATGTTTCCTAGTTGGTCTTTGCTGAATAGACTCATGTTGGTATGTCTCCCTCTGTGTGTGAATAGCAGGTAATACTTATAACTCAGTGTTGTGACTCGGTAGTGCATACTGTTCTGTTACCGTTTCCTATAGTGATTTTAGGGTTTTGATTAAAAAGAGACACAAAGCATTAGGTACAGTTTCCTTTTGTTTGCTAAACACCCAAAGGATATTTTGTTTGTGGAAAGCAGATGGTCATTTTTTTCTTGTCAGTTCTGCACTTAAGCAGAAATAGAACCTGTGTGAATTATTGGGTAGGGCCTGCAGCCGAATTAAATCAGATCTCCGTTTTAATTTTAAATAGATTCAAGAGGAAATTGCCATTAGGAATCACTGGGATCTTTTCAGATTTTACATTCCCAGAAGTAGCAGTAACAGATCCAGCGGTTGTAATCTCTCTGTTGACAGTGGCTTTTCATCAGCTGAATAACCATCTCTGCCTCAGATTTGTTACTTATTACCGATATGATGCCCTATAAATCCCCAGAGTTCTGAAGTAAGTGATCATAATAAAAAACCAGGAGGTGGAACCACCAGTGATATCTGGTGGAATGAAAGAATTGCCTCTCGGCATCCTGAATGCCATTTATTACATGCCTCCTTGGGGAACAGGAGAAAGAAAACACATTTATCAAGCGCTGCTCTGTGCCACCCATTGTACCGGGTACTTTGTTAGGAATTGTGTGGAGATGTGAGTGTTTGTATGCACACACTTCAGATGTGTATGTAGTGACGCCTAGAAAACCCGCTAGGATGGCGAAGCGCCCGCCCGCCTGTGTGGCCGCGCCTGTCCTGGGGGCTCTGAGGGGGGCCTGGCAGCTGGTGCGAAGGCAGGTCTGTCTTCCCAGCCCGCTCTGAACCTCACCACTGGGGACTCCCTGATTTTCTCTGCCTGAGCCGGGAAAAAGCAGAATCCCACCAGAAGGAAGTGGGGGAAGTGAAGAGTGTTTTCTCCGCTTACCTTTAGTTATTTTTGTTCGTCTGTCCTGACTCAAAGGTGGGGATGAATTTCAGGAATCTACAAGCTCACCCGGACACAAGTTGCCTCTGGCTGTGCGCCAGTGATGGCGGTGCCGTGGGCATCATGAGAGCAGTCCCCTGGGTGAGCTCTCACCCGCAGCACCTCTGCACCTGCTCTAAAGTGAGCCCTGCTACTCGGACCTCCCCCCTGAATCCATCAGGTCCCCCCCGGGAAGCTTATTCTGACAGAGATAGTAGGGCGTCAGCTTGAAGGGTTTGAGTCAACGAAATATAAAGGGCTTGGCACAGCACTAGGCACCTAGTAAGCATGCAATGAATGTTAGCTGTTTTAGTTACAACTTTTGGTCATAGTAATAACTAGTATTATTCAGCTGATCTGCATCACACCACTTATTTCTTCCATTATGGAGGTTCTCTCCTTTAAACTGTTGAACTTGAAGAGGCAACCAAACCTTATAATCTGGTCACATTAATGCCCATCAATTCTACCTCCAACCTGGCCAAGCCCCGATACCTCAAATACAAGCAAAAATAAGTGAAGAATGGAGAAATGTTAAGAGGCTTTATAAGAAAGAGTTTCCGTTGTTCAGTGTGTTTGCAAAGGGGACTGTTATGGAAAAACCTAACCAAAGTTGTGAAAGCAATGGTCTTGGTCATGTGGCAGCTTCCGTCTTTGCTTGGATTATACATAAACTGTGTTGATCTGCCCTGACTGATAAATGGTGTTTGAAGAAACGTGGGATCCTGTTACCCTGATTTTTTTTTTAGTTCAGCCTTATTAAAAGCATCAAGCACTACACCGCTCTCTCAGCATGTTCATAGACAGTCATAGGGAGAACCTGGACAAAGCCACCCTCATGGAGAAGCTGGAGCCTCTTGTAGGCGATGACTAGGCTGGGAGCTCCTGCCCCACTCACGTCGCACATCCCGCTCTCACTTTCCTCAGCTGTAAAGCGGCCTCATTTCTGCAGTTCTTCAAAACCGTCCAAGTAGGAAGGGGCAGCTCTAGGAAGCAAAATTCCTAATTCCTCAAGTTCACAGAGTGGGTCTTCTAAATGAGTGTTTCTTGCTAGACTGGACCGCTTTCTTTAGGAATACCAGTTTTCTTGAATTTTCATGTTTCACAACTTCTAAAATTATTTTGCTATCTTTAGACAGCAGAGTGTTGATTATTTCTCTGTTTAGGCTACACTGACCACATGTTACTACTTAAATAAACAAAATGTTTATTATGCTTATCCAACATGTATCACTTTGTTGCTTTGATTGAAATCTGGATTGCTAAACAGTTTTGTGCTAGTAACCAGTTAACTTTAGGCATCAATAAATGCAAAAATGAAGACCTCCAAGAAGAGTTACCTCATTTTCTCCACACGAGCTGCCATTTAGTCTAAGTTAAGGCCTGTACAGATTTAGAAGCTGTTAACATACAGCCCTAAACAGAAGACTACATGAAAGGTTTCCAGTTCATACATATCTTCAAATGCTTTTGGGGTGACTTTTTAACACTGTATTAAAAGAGAAACATTCAGTTGTTGAGGCAGTGGTCTTAGCTAAAAATCTTTGTTGTATTTTCCCGTATCAGTTAACCACCTTTGCAAAATCATGAGTGGAGGGAGAGATTGGTGGCGACCTAAGGCCGAGCTCCCTTTCTGAGGGAAGAGGAGATTGTGGGATGGAAACTAGCGTATCTCTGGGGATTATATATTCTGTACCCATGTATGTTGACATCACAGGGTTACTCAAAACTCTGAGGGAGGCTGTCCATCCTTCTGGTAAAGTTTGCCTGTTGTTATGATTTTGAAAACTTACAGTTCTTACTGTCCCAGGAAATCCAGAGAAGCTCCTCATGTTTAGCTGTTGATCAGAATCAGATTTTTATGCTCAATTAAAGTGCTTCATTATTTCTCAAATGCAGCTCATATGGAAGTTAATATTTATTTCAGGAAATATTTATTAAAACAAAAACGGATCCTTGAATTATATGTAGGCATAGTGCTTCCATTACTATTAATAGCAACTAGGTGGATCCCTTTCCCCCACTGAGATAAGAATGGGCTCCTAAATATTTTATGATCAATAGAACTGATTGGATTCCTTTGTATTTAACTGTAGGTATTGTTACTATTTGTTCAAATAAGTGTCTAGAAGGTCCAGATTTGACCCACCCTATGTAAGTACCCCCTTACAGCTGCCTCATTCTCACATCCGCTATGCAAGGTAGGTCTAATTATTCCCGTTTTACTGACTGAGAAACCAAGGCTCAGAGAAGTTCACTAAATTTCCCAAAGTCTGATACAGTTAAGCTGGAGAACTTAAGTTTGAACCCAGGTCTCCTGACTCCAAATCCAGTGCTCAGTCCATTAGACAAAACTGCCTCCTTCAGGCCCACAGAAGTCCATTTATCACAGAGCTTTTAGAAAATTAAACATAGTTTGTACTTGAGAAGTATTTCATTTCTTAAGCCATACCGTGTCACACCTTCTATGCGCTTGTTTCACTGATCATTTGGTCACGTGGTACAACTCAGTAGTTCCTGGGAAGCATTATGAATGAGTATAACATTTCCTGCCTGCTGAGAACCTGGTCTTTCTCTGATAAATAACTTATTTTACCCATTGTCTACCTAGAAGAACAGATGGTCATGCCAGTTTATTCTAATAAAAGTCAAGTAATTTACCAACTGCACCTTTTTGGACACTGGTATCACTGCTTAAATGTAAAGGACATCCTAACCTCTGTCACAATTGTATGTTCAGGTGTTTTCTTTTTCATTGTGATGTCAGAGGATTTTTATACTCTTTAGGCATAAGGCACCCTCATAACAAAAAGTACATTTAGTCATTTGTTTGTTTTACTCTTCCCTTTATCAGGACATGTTTATTTTCTGTTTTGAGGCTTAAAAAGCAATAGGATGTAGGTAACTCTGAGAGCGTACAGTCAAATTCCCTCCTTTTACTAGTAAGGAAATTAACGCCCAGAAGTATTAAAGGGCCTGTCCAAGGTCAGCAAGACAATAAGTGGTAGAGTCAGAACTAGAAAATTAATCCAGAACCCTTTCCTTTATACCATAGCTGGGAAATTTGGATTTTTTAATTCAAACTATAAGAGAGAGTTTATAGGGTAGAAGTGAGCTGTAGGAGAAATGGGCTCAGGAGACAAGTTACAGAGGCAAAAGAAGGGCCCTTGTTGCTTAGGAGAAAGAGGGGGGCAAGGAAAACGTACCTGGGGGGCAGGGTAGGAAAAGGCATGGGCGTGCTCCACAGAGAGCTGCCAAGATTTGGATTTTTAAAATTAATCAGTGGAACTGCATCTGTCAGGAGGACATCTGGCCATCAGAGCCCCCAGTGAGCTCTGAGTGAGTGAGAAAGTCACCCATAAGGACCGAGGAGGAGGCCAAGTCTCAATTCTGAAATCCGGAGGGAGCCGGAAGGTTCTCCACTCTTCTCCCCCCCTTCATCCAGCCCAGGGCCCCACATCTTGGGGCTGGGGGGGGAGCCGCCGGCAGAGGATCTGTTAGGGGCACGGTGCCCCCCGAGATAAACGCCCGCAGGTGGGAGCGGACGCCGCAGGGAGCAGAGCGTGAAATGCTGAGGGTTTCTGCCTGACTTTGGTCCAGGGAGGCAGGAAGCCGGGAGTGGGGGGAAGGGTGCCACCTGAACAGGAAAGAGCTAAACGAGAAACGACTTGGGAGTCGGCGCCGACCTCACCGTCAGCCCGGTGTCGGAAACGGTCCGACACTCACGTGGACGGGGGCCTAGCCAAGAAGACCGGGCCTGGAAGAAAGAGCCGGCCCAGAGATGGTTACAGAGACCAAGGCACAGTGCGCACCTTAAAATGGGGCTCAGACAAGGAAAGTGAACAGCTCCCCGGGCATTTGAGGAGGAAAGTGGGCTATACTGTAAGAAACAGGAACATTTTAGAATTCTTTTCTGTCATAGTGGAAAGAACAGAAGAATTACTTCTATGCAACAGTAGTTATCTTAAAATGGGAGTGGGCTCAGAGAAAAAGGCAATAAAATAAAGTGAAAAAGATCAGGGGGATTTTTTTGGAAGCTAAAACAACATCAGATTAAAATCTACATTGGAAGCAAAAAATAATACTGGCACTTAAAAAAAACCCTCAATACTATGAAGGACAAACTTGAGATTTTCTTCCTAATGTTCTTGCGAAAGAAACAAGAGATGAAAATACTGAGAAAAGATAGTGAATTGGGAAGACAGAACAGTAGCTGACATTACTGATGTTTGCTTTTCCTGATGGAAAGATGATATTGAGAAGAAATATCATCAACCATAAAAATGAAACCTTTCCTGAACAGAATGAAAATCTGTGTGTGTAGACTGAAAGGACTCACTGCATTCCAGGCCAAAAAGAAATGTGAACGAGGCCCCTACCAGAGCACCTCATGGCAATAATTGTAAACTACCAAGGACTGAGAAAGAACTCTTGCAGGCCGATCCAGTCAGAAAGGAACAAGTTGCCCATCAGAAAACAAAAGAGCGCCCGGCTTCAGACTTCTACTCTACAGCCCCAAATGCCAGGGAGTGATAGGGAATTCTGAAGGGGAAAGCTGTGTCTTTGGAATTTGATACACATTTTATATATGTATATAAACACACACACATATATATATATATTAAGATACAGAAAATATTTTTAGTTATGACAAGCATTCAGGGCATAAACCACCAACATACTATTCTTTAAAGGCAAATTGTACTGCAACCTACAAAGCTTGGATTAAAAAAACAATTTTTGCTTAATGTCATTTCAGGGGACTCGAGGGTATTAAGTATCAGGTCATACATAACACACTAAGAGGAGGCTGTGTGTGCATATGTCTAGAAGCCAGTGTCTAGAAGAGCCCACATCCTCGCATGAATGGGCTAAGCTAATACAAGAAAAGGTACCTGAAAATAATGATACGCCACAACATCGTTTCTTCCTTTTTATTACTGAAGCCATGTATGATCACTGTGGTATCAACAGAAAATTCAGATACATCTTTGACAAAATTTAAATTGCTCTCCGTTTTTCCCACTACCATGTGAAACAGTCCTGGGAGAATCCCTTGCTTCCAAGTGAGAAAAGGCAAGAGGTCCCCACATTTGCTTTGGGGTCTGATGGCCTAGATGAGCTTACTGAGGCCATGGCCGTCCCACGTGCTTCTCCACGCTCCTGAAACTCAGAGCTAACAACAAGCACAAAATAGAAAATTGCAGAATATATATCTGTGTTTTAAAAAGAGATCACAGGTCAGGCAAAGCCACAGTTGTTTTAGAATACAAATGCTAGAAAAGTTTAATTTTAACAGCAGGAAGCTGGCCTGGGGCAGGACGGTACTTTCTGTAGCTGTACTTGAAGGATCTTTTTGTTTTGTTTTTGTTTTTAATTTAATTTTTTTCAATCATAGTTGGCATTCAGTATTATTTTATATTAGTTTCAGGTGTACAGCATAGTGGTTAGACAGTTAGATAATTTACAAAGCGACCCCCCCCAATAAGNGTACAGCATAGTGGTTAGACAGTTAGATAATTTACAAAGCGACCCCCCCCCAATAAGTCTACTGTACTTGAAGATTTATGGAACTGTGTTAAATTCAGCTACTGCGGTAATAAAAGCAGTAGAAACCAGTAATGACACACCAAATGAATTACTTCCAGAGTCCAGTGTTAGTGTTGGAACTGAAGCTGAGTGGTTTTGTTTTGATTTTCGTGGTCCTGCACTGGAAGGCCTTGGAAACACACAGGGATGCCCACTCTCATTGGCCTTAATGCTCAGTTCCTCCCTGTCAGAATAAAGGTTTTATCTGTGCCCCAAGTTGGCTTGCCAGTTGAAACCCTAAATTAAATTTTCAACACCACCAGCACGTTTGCTTTAAATTTAGCAATAGGATAGTGAACGGGTTGCTTTGCATTTGCTTGGCGTGTCATTCCGAAGCACAGCAAACCTCTTCAGACGGAGAGACTCTCCTCGGGACAGATTCCAAGTGAAACCTTTCCCAGGGCCTCCCCTGCGTGGCTGTGACTGACAAAAGTCTGTTCGCTTTAATGACTCAGATGAGAAACACAGTGCTTGTATTTAATATTTCCTCTGTGGCTGTATGTTCCAAATGATAGCATCAAAACTGTCTTACTGTTTGCACTGTTTGTTTTGTTTTTTAATGTAAAGGAGGGTATCTGTAATTTCGTAACACTGGAAACATCATTTTAGATGATACGGGAAATGGTCAGT